TGTGATGGACCCACATGAAGTTATGGACGTCTTGACTGCTGCTGTTCTGTCAATCTTTCAAAGTTTTTCCAGGTTTTTTTTTTTTTTTTTTTGTTTTGTTTTTTTTTTTAAATGGATGAACCTCTAATTTCCTCATAAAGCTCTCAAAACACTTTGAAGCTCTGAAATACAATGCATTTGTTGACTGCAAAGATCTGGGATTTTTCTTATTAGCTGTTGACAGCAGTACAGTTTCTAGAAACTTTCTGTGAGCTTCAGAACATAAATGAGTCCTTTATTTCTGTCATTCTGCTTGATCTTTCTCTTCTTTTTTGTTGGTTAGTTGGTGTGTGTGGTTTTTTTTTTTTTTTTTTTTTTTTTTTTTTTTTTCCTCTTCCAAGCATTCCAGGATGTGGCTATTACATATTCTGTATCCTGAGACTAGAGTAATTAATAGGGCGTAGGAAGCCAGGACACCTATTTTTAAGTGCTGCATTTGATGAGTACATTATAAAAAGGTGGTGAGGGACAACATAACCCCTGTGGAAACAATTCTGAAGAGTTTTGTGCTTCTCCATCCCCAATCCATTAATTAAAGAATCTGAAAGAAAAGCTGTATCCAGATGCTGTACTATACATAGCTGATGAACACAAGCTTGTTGATCTGTGTAAGTGAAAAGATATCTAGGAAGACTGTTGCTTTAATACGGTAGCTTTCAGCATTTTCCTTCCAATTTAAGTTTGAAATGTCTGAAAATATTTCTGTAGTGTGTACAAGAATTTTTATTACCTAGAAAAAATCCAGATAGATTTGATTACATAGTTGTTGCTGTCTCCTTTTCATTGAAGGGCTATTTACTGTCTATTGAGGTCAGCATCACCAGGTGATAGTGAGATGCACTTCCATGCTTAACTTTCAGAGGATCTGAAGAGCTCTGCTTTCAGTGTTTGGAAACACTTATCACGCTTTAAGAAGGGACTGAACTGCAGTTAAATTATCCATATGTCACTATCTTGGGCAATACAGTGTGTAAGATTCCAGGTTTTTTGGCTTTCTTGACATCAGAAAAAGTATAAGCATTTGTTCATAAGCTCTACTGCAACTGAACTGAACTTACAACCTTCTGTGGCAAAATTAGATTGCAGAAACATAATCGCTCATGTAAGAATTCCAATAAGTAAATAAAGGCATATGGTAGTCTTGAACTGAATCATTGGCCAGTAAATCTTAGTAGCACTCAGGGAAAGAACAGTGATGCTATATTTGTTGGGGTTTTTTTGTGTGGTCCTTAGGAAACACAGGATTCTTTTTTGTAGATGATGCTGTAGAGGCCAAATTTCATGACTGACTCCCTGTGCATATGCAGTATAAACCAGTGTTTAACTGTATGTTATCTCAAGGTATCTTTCCTACATAGGCTTTTTGGTGTGCATGAACAACTGGCTTTGTGAATTTAAAAAAAGAAAAAAAGTAGTAGAGGAGGTTATGTACACAGTTCTTTCTGGTTTTATTGGGACAAAAGGGACAGGGCTTTGAGGACTCAGCACCTCCAGTACCACTCCAGAGACCCAAATGATACTCCTACATCTGGCAAGTAGTCCTGTGTAATACTGAATAAGTAGATATGAAAAACTTTTCACAGGTGGTCTCTTATTGTGTGTTCTAGGAGTTTGTGTGTTGTTTTTTGTGTTTTTTTTTTTTTTTTCTTTTTTCTTTCCTCTGCATGCCTGATTTGTTGTGGTTTTTTTGGTTGTGTTTTGTTTTTTACTCTTGAGTCTAGCTTTTTTTTTTTTTAACTGAGTTCAGCAAAAGCTGTTCTTTGACTGCTAGGTATTCTGAAATGCCACATCTGAATGTGAGTACACAGTATTAGCAGGTATTTTTCTTCTTAACAATTTGGTTCCTTGGCTTCCCTCTGTAAAATGAGGCAAAAAGCATGCTCATTTTAAAAATGTGATATAGCTCATTTGAGCATTTAAAAGCTTGGTATTATAGTATTTCAAAAAAATCAGTGGACACTACTTTTTGAAAAAACACAGTGCTTTAAGGGATGCCAAATTATTTTCAGATTAATTTCCCTTCAAGGAGAAATTGGAATTTTTGACTCTTATTTTGGTTCACTGTGAAGCCACATTTAAAGTTCCCTAGCTCCTTGAAAAACTGTTTTGCCTACTAAGAGCTCCAATATAGTGATACTGTTTCTGAGGATTATTAACAAATGTTTCCATATATATTAACTTACACTATATCTAGTGCATGGGGAGTATCATAAAAAGTATTTTCTAAGTTACCTGCGTAAGTACTTTAGACACCTGAGAAAGTGTTACCTTTCCATACTTCTAGCATTTACTTTGGTTTGTTCTGATGATGTGGCAGTATATAAAGAGTGCTGTTTAGTTTTCGTTGCTTTTGCAACAGCTGTAGTTGTAAAGATGATAGGCATAAAGCCATTCAGCTCTGATTTGCCTGCATGCAATTTACATAATTCTTCCATAGATTCAAATCCAAATATAATATCATTCAGTCAAACAAACCCCGTTTGCTTCAGTCAATAAGCAAAGAGCCTTTGGATAAACAAAATTTGTTCCAAATGATTCAAAGTAAAATATGCACCTAATAATAATATTAGGATGCTTCAGAAATGTATATGTAATGTCCTTGGGCTAAAATCTCTGCTTTATTGATATTACAAAGACATTTCATTTGACAAGACATGATGAGCTTTGAGCTAATTATGGGTGATATGGTAATTTTAGTGGTTTGCAGTAAAGAAAGATAGGATGAGAAAAGCTGTTGCTTTTTCATTTCTTCGAGAGTCATGACAATGAGAAAAGCACTGAAAAGTTTCATAGGTAATGTTAAAATGAACAACATCTTGCTTTCTTTATTTCTTATTACAGGAGGTATATATTTTTTGCATCTTACTGAAAGCTTGGTTTAAATTTTATTTACTTACTCTAAAAAACTGGTTATAAGCAATTATAAGCCTAGAACTGGCAAGAAAGAGGCTATACCTCACATTTGTGGCTGTAACATTACAGTTTTGCAGTTGTTTTCAGGGCAGATTTTGTGAAGATATTTACAAGCAAAAGCCTTGGTTCTTTCTAGCTTCATATTTTCCTGCTATCAAAAGTGGTAGATTGTGGAAAAACTGCATGATTTTCAGGATTAGAACTGAGAGGACAATTAGGTTCTTAGAAAAGTGATATTAGCAGAAGTTTTACATCTATTGATTATTGCAAGGTTACAGTTTTCTTATGTAAAGCTTTTATAAAGGAAGAACCTGCATCTTGCCACCATCAGTAAGCTCAGATTGTTAGAGTCCCATTTCAAAGGTATGTCTAGCATATATTAGCAGATAATGTACTGGTGGTTCAAAAACAACTGTGAAGTTACATGTAAACTGTTGCCCTCAATTTTGAATTCCCCACTTTGTGGTAGTTCAACATGAGGTGACTTACATTATTTGTATTCTAAAGCAGGACTTTTTATACAAATAATTTGTTCCAGATGAGACTGGGTTTGAGTACTTACTCCTGTGTATAGGATGCTTTCCCACTCAGTGTTCTTGGGAGCAGGAGACTCACATCTGCTAGTTTTATTAAGCACTTTTGGCTTTGAGAAGCTGCTTTCATGAATGAAATGTTTGTGTTTAGTTCACTTAATATCCTTTACTGAATGAGTCACTGAAGCACATGTGGGTAAAGTTGATATTCTTAGTCTTCATGCTGTTCACATTTGTCTACTTTCCAGTCAAAGGAACTGTTAAGGATATGACAAATTACTTGTATCATCCTCCAGATTTAGCTGGCCCATTTTACAAGACCTGTCAAATGGTTTTGGTTTCCTGCTTTAATGTTTTTTATTGCTCACCTTTGTATTTTTTTCTATAAGCAAACAAAGTTGATCCTTGGTACTGCCATGATACTACATGTCTTACATGAAGTAGGTCTAAAGCCAGGATTGACAGGAAAGACGGGAAAAACAATAATAAATGCATCTCCTGCTCCATAAGGACTTCTTGTTTTGGGAAAAAGTACTCCTTGTACCAAGGGATCTCTTTTGACCTTCTTTACTCCCTTAGTAGGAGGCAAACCACCTTGCTGTGAAATACATAGAAACGTATATATACACGTTATTGCTTACAGTCCCAAATTATCATATGAGGTCCCCTTATGACCTTCTTTTATTGAGACCAAAAACCAAAATGGTTAGGAGTTTGAAAGTGAACTTGCTCTAGGTCAGAATGAGTCATTGCTAGGTAAGAACTCATTTAACAAGGTTAAAAGACTCTTCACATTCACAGTTCCATTTACAGCGTTTGATTTTCAAATTCTTTCACCCATCTGGGATGAAAGGTAAAAGGTAACATTCAGCCTGACTTCTTTCTTGAGGAAACTAAACCAGGAGAAAAGTCTAAAGCCATGGTATAGTATTGGTCATAATTTAATGACAGCATGGTATAGTCTCATTTAATTCATACACTTAAAGGCAAACTTTAATTAACATCAACTAAGTATAGCAATTAAATGAGGATGTGATTAGTAAATAGCTATTTAGAGGGTGTGCAAAGTGAAGAAGTGAAAGCTTGTCAGGCCCTCAGAATAGCCAGCTGTGATCTTAGAGAATTCTGGTTAGATCTTATTTTCAACCAATTGGGTTTTCAGCTATTTGTTTTATTTTATTCTGTGGTAAAGATTAGCTTTCTGGGGAAAAAAAAGAGAGAAGAAAAAAAAAAAAGGGACTTTTCACTGAAGACTTCCCAAAAGCAAAGTATTGGGGGTTGGGGCAGGCACCAGAACAGTTTCAGAAATTTTGTTTGAATCTTACAGAATATTTAGTTCTGCTACCCGTCAGGCAGCAAAGACAGCTCTGCTTGTCTACCACCAGCTTTATCTCTTCTTAGAGGAGGAGAGACTGCAACGCATTGTGGGAAGTGCAGGCTGGTCATGCTGACCTGGGGGAAGATGGGTAGGTAGAGCAGGTTTTTAAAGGGTGCTGAGAGCTCAGGTCTTGATCCTGAGGGGATATAAATATATACTTCATATATTCAACACATTTGACTTCAGGAGGGACTACATGGGTATGGTTACTTCAGATATGGAGACATCATAATTAGCTGGGTTCTCTGATAGATGCTTTGGTTTTTGGGGATCCTCTTGACTGATGAGAGAACCTATTATTTGATTTTTAATTTCATGGCAGGTTAATAGCTGTTTGAGGCTACTAGAATACCAGGGTCCACTTAAAATTTTTTGTTAATGTGTACTCATTGCAATTTTTGCTGTTTAAGCCATCAGGAAGATACAAGTATGAATGATAATGAATGTTTAAGGATAACAGAATAACATGCTAATTATTAAGCTTTACTCAGCAAAGAAAAATAGACGATAGACTTATAAAAAGTGCACCAAATACTAAAATGGAAAATCATTATGTCTTTCCATTCTTTAAAATCAAGTCAGCATGTAAACATCCATCCCACTAGCTTGCAGACAGGCAGACACCAATTCTAACAGTAAATGAAATTGACTTTTAATGTCAGTCAGTTTTTCCATTTAAGACTGGGTGTAGACACCTAATGGGCTGGTTGTGTGCTTGTATGTACGTATGTCAGTGTGGGGGTGTTCCTATCTTTGTGGCCACATCCTTTCCAGCTGTGGCTGCTTGCCCTTCTAAACAAAACCGCTCTTTGGAACATCTGGAACCTCATGTTGATCACATTGACTTCCTAAGTCAGGTAAGTCATCCAGGGTCTCCTTTCTTGGATCAGTGTCTGGCCATATGATTGTACCTGGAATCATTAAGAGAGTCCTTTCTCTGAGAAACCTGCAGCAAGTAAAGCTGCAACTTTTGTCCTAAGACATTTCAGTGCTAACGAAAAGGTAATGTACTTGTAGGAAAAAATGTGCCTGTAGAGAAGAGACAAATGAAGAAATCTTTTTGTTGGTTACATAAAGAGCTGACATCTAGAAAATACTTTGCATTATTTTTACAGCAACATTTATCCTTCTTCTGGTTAATACAGGTGTCTTAATGGTGAAAGTTCAGCATGTGGACATGCAAAGGAGAGTGGTGAGGCGGGAGGGTGGAATGGATTTCTCCTGGTTTTACTGTTTGGTGAAACCAGGAAGTTCCACAGATGGAATCCAGGCTTCAAATTCACTTTAATGAGAGAAAAGGGGGTGGCAGAGGAAAGGGATAACTAACTGGGGCATGTGAACTGAAGCTGTCTCTCTGCTGCACTCCAGGACTCAGGCTTTTTCCAAAGACTTCAGAAGGAATGAAAGCATGTAAAGGCTGAAGAAATCTAACTGGAGTACTTCAGTAGGTAGGAGAAAGCTACATAATCACATTTGTTTGCACTGGTAGAGGTGGGATTTGAGGTTGTCACTAAGAAAGATTGTGTTCCTTCTTTTGGTATATACAAATGGAAGAGTGAAAATGTCCCCAAACCAGGCTGTGCAGGGAGATCCTGCATGCAACATGTTTATAAGTTTATAGGTGAAAACCAGATGTTGCCTCAAAATATCCATGCTTTTGATAGTGTGCTCAAGAAGTGTATTAGCATTTGACCATGCATTTTGCTCTGGAAGCAAACACCTACAGAATGACTTTCTTTTACCCGTGTAAAATGTTGAAGTAGCTGAAGATAAAATTGGGACATTAGTTGATTAAAAAAGAATCAAAACATAGTTGCAAGCAATCTTTGTGAAGCATTTAAAGAATTTTAGAGTACTGTTGATCTTTTTTTTTTCCTTTGAGATTTATTGTAAACGTATTGGTGGGTCTCTGGAAACAGTGAAGGAAAAATGCTGGCAGTGAAATAAGCTTTAAAATATGTATCCTTTTATACTGTTTTCTAAGGGCTTTTAATAATTTTTATACTGTTGACTCCTAAAATGGCATTAAAGTGTAAAGAAGTCTTAGATATTGCTGTCTTAGCATCTTACGTAGATTATGTCTCTATATATTTATATAAAAACCTACAGATATGCATATTTAAGTAGCTTATACTAGGACCTTGTATATGCTGTTTTATGCTTGTATAAGTTTTGGAATTAACATATTGCTATCTTAATATGCAGATTTAGTAATGCTCTGTGACACAGCATGTTTCTGAGTAAGTTTATTTAGGCTTTGATCCATAGTATCTATGGAGCTGTATGACATGAGTTTTCCATTAAATTACTTCTTTCGTTTTTACTTTAGCAAATAATGAAGAATACCCATTAAAAGTACCTCTGTTTATGCAGCTTGTAGTGCATGACTGGAATTTCCTATGTGCAGATAAAGCAAGATAAATGGTACAAGTAGAGAAATTAGTCTGCACACGATTTTAAATTGCAGTGTCCCTGTGTATTTAAAGAAGCTGCCTCATGTCAGTAGGGGATACTAAAGGGGAAAAATAAAGAGCAAGTGGGAAATAAGTTCCCATCTGCACTCATGTTTAGGAAGAGTGGGAAGGATTTTGCAGGTGTAGGGTATCTGACCCTATGAGCAGGGAACATTCTTGATTCATAAGGTTGGAAGAAGCTGAAGGAGGCAAGAGACTACAGCCTTTGGGAGGTACAGAAATAGTTCATAGCTCAATAGTCACTGATTATTATGTATGGTGTAACAGTAAGAGCTAGACTACTTTGGTACAAAATTTGAATATTTACACTACTGAGGAAAGTCTAGCTCCTTGCTAAAACAGCAACTGTATTTTGCTCCTCTGACGGTGGGCAGCCATATACACTCTGGAAGCATGGTGATACGGGTGTTTTTTTACAAGCTCACAATGATGGAAAATTTTAGAGCAGAACACCAACTAAAGGCTTTGGAAATGCCAGCAACATTTTACTTACCTGCCCTTGAATATGTATGTTTCTAGCTGCATCTATAGATCTATGTGCAATTTAGTAAAACCAAACAGTTCAAGATGTTTCGTGGCACAATAACTGTGCTATCAAAGTATGTACTGTGTAATACAGTAATGAAGGTTAGTAATCATGACTATTTTAAATTTTGGATACCATGAAAATATTGGTCTCAGTATAAGCTATTTGCTTACTAACGTCTAAAAAAGAGGCTATGGGGCATAGCAGTGAAAATAGATAATCTGGGAATAAAATCTCTGTCAAAGTAATCAAGAAAAACTCTTGAGAGGTTCAGTAACTATCAGGAATATATACAGAAAAATTAATTAAATCCAGGACAAAATTTAATTGTGAGAGTGGCACATAAGATGATTGCAAAACATTTTTATTTTCTATGGTTTCATATATGATATGTTAGAGGTGCTAATTAAAGAAAACTGCAATGTGCAGAGCCATGAAGAGGGTTTCCACAATGCAGAAACCCCAGCATTGCCTTCTGTTCTTTTGAAGGACCCCACAGTACCTGGAACCTCTTTTGTTGCATAGGGACTTCAGTTACATCTGGACTCTCTGTGTTACTGCAGTACTAATAATAGTAAAGAGTGCCCGTATGAGAGAAATATCTTGAAATACAGGAAATGTGGCTTTTTTCCTCCCCACAAAAGAAGATTCCAAAGAACCCTTCAGGAGCTACAATGGGGCTTGGTGTGGTGATACTTGGAAATGAAGTTTTGCTATTGCCTGAGGGTAGAAAGTACATTCAAGCAGATGATTTCTATTCATTACTTTGTTATTTACAAGATCTAGGGTAATATTACATACTGTTACCCTAAGAACCTGGAACTGAACCCTGTGCTATGATGTTAGACCAGCTGTAGCCTTTCCACTAAATTGTCTTTGCAGATCCAAAGTATAGTTTTAAAACCAGTATAATTAATTGTTAACAGGAACATTTGATAAACAATCTAATTGGCTTGTGATTTTAATATAAAAGTATAGCTGGCTTCAAAAGAGATTAGAAGAATTCTTGGAAGTATGGTCTTCATCCAAATGCAACCTGGAAACCTTTAAACCAGTCTGTATGGCAGAAGATGCCTACATTCCTTAACTTTCCTTTTATGCTCTTTCCTTAAGCTAATGGCCGTTGTCAAAGATAAGGGATTGGGCAAGATGGCCTTCTGTTCTGATCACTAGTCCTTTTTTGGTGACTAGTGAGAAAGGGAAGTTTATCAAACAAAAGTGACAGAAGTGGAGAAATCTGCATGTATAAGTAGATACCCTGCCCCCAGCACATACCTTGAAGATACTGAAGACTAATGTGTGGATTAACCTGTTATGCTGTAGCCATCACTTGGATAGCCTCTCCGTCTATATAGATTCAGTCCCACATTCTTCCACAAGGGGAATTTTTCTGTGTCTGAGACTGGTTGATTCTGAGAAGGATGCTCCTGGGTTCTAACAAGCGTGCCTAGGAAGCTCTCCAGTTTCTGGAAGGATGAACTAGCTTGGATTTTGCCAAGCTGTCTGATTGCTTCGTGTGTGTTCACATACATTTCTCTCTCTGTTGCTTACAAGTTTAGGCAGTATTCATGCCAATGTAATTATTAGATGTTAAGCAATGGCGGAGACACAGATGCTACAGAAATTTGTGTGCAAAACAGCTCCAAAATGTAATTCCAGATTAATTGTTCTCAGAATTCCAGAAGCCCTGAAACCTTTACAAAAATAAAAAAGCAGCCAAGCCATGATCCTGGGTTTACTGAGGTTGCACTCTGTGTCAAAACCAAGCCTGGAGTATAAGTGTCTTAGGGTATCTCTTCTGATCTCATTTCAGGTTGATGTCTGCCAGCATCAACCAACAGGTTCAAAAGTTAGCCTGAGACAGATCAGTGTTTGGCTTATTCTATATTACTGGTAGCTCAGCAGTGCTTTGTATAAAATTTTGGTAATAAACATGTGGTAGCCCAGAAAAGTCAGTAGCCATGCATCTTCCACACCAGTATACCTCTAACATAGGCAGTATTAAGTATGAAATTCTTAGGGTATCCCCAATGGGATGTTTTTCAGTCACTGAGCATTTAAGCATAATATCTGAGTTATGCCAACTTGCTGCATTTTATCTCGCCTTCCACAGTCACTTTTTCCTCAGTCACTCCTCTTCAGTCTAATTTCCACAGGATCCTTGCTGCCAGCAGGTGTGTTTTGGAGGCCTGAGGAAGAGACTGCCTACAGCATTTGAACAGCATTACCTCTGATATGCACATCCGTGGGAAAAATACAACATGGACAGCATCTCTGTCAACCTATTCTTTCCCCTAGAACAAGAAGAGATATGATCTCAGTTGACAGAGAACCAGCTACAAAGGGCTGATGAGAAGAGTGACTTTGCCTAGCTGAAATGCAGCAGTGGAATATTTTACTCGTCTATTTTAAATACTTGAATAATCAAAGGTCATCGAATAAATGAACACTATACCTGGTTTTCTTGTCTTTCCTGCTGAACATATCCAGCCAACCTGATTCTCTGCTACTTATGTCACCATGCAGAAGCATTTGGACTTTATATTCATAAATTTTACCAAAAATCTTTTCTTCCACCTGCTGACATCAGCTTTGTGCTACACAGCTCAGTCTTGATCTTGGACAGAATGTGAAGGTGGAACTAGGAAAAGAGCATCTGGAACTAATCAGAAAAGAAAGAAAACTTAGCTCCAAAGAAAAACAACATATGAAATCTTTTCCTATTCATCCTTTTTTGCATGCTTGGCCTCCAAGGCTCTGGCTTATTATTTCTTCTTATTCTTTAAGCTCTTTAGTATTCATATGTTCTAGAACTGAACGTTTTTCAAAACTGTTTTGTTCTCACTTGTTTAGTGCACTTAAGCTCAACATGGCTTAATTTTGTACTTTCTTGCAGAGAGATTTTCATTCCCGTTTCCCACAGTATTGAGTTGTGGCACTATTATATGGCAAGTGTCTTCATTACTGGCCAACTGGCATATTTAATTTGTAAATGAATACATGTTCTTCTCTACGTGTATTGTATATAGATACTACCACCAAATTTTTCTTTTAAATCGATGTGTGGGTGGGAAATTTCAAGGCTAGAGGGGAATCGTAGAAGCATAACTCTCATTAATCTTGCACTATGAATAGCTTGCTTTTAACTGAATTTTGGATCGTGGTAAATATAGCTGTGTGAATCAGAACAAAGCATGATTGTGAGAGCAGAGCAGTGAACAGTTCATTTTGGTTATGTGCTGTACATCAGTGTCAAACTCTAACAACTCTGTGTTCAAAGCCTGTATGTTAAAAGCTGAGGGAAGAAAATATGAATTTAAAGTGCTGCTTTAAATTGCACACAGCTAGAAAGCCTCCATGTCGTTAGTAAAATGCACTTACCCATTCCTCCACAATTAAAAATCTCTTTCTGAGGAAATTATGCTTTGTATTTCTTAATGTCTTTGTTTTTTTTTTCTAGGGAAGTTTTCAAAATGGATGACTGGAAACCACTTCTTGTTCTTCTCTTTGTTTTCACCCTCTGCTCTATAGATGCACAGCAGACTGGTAATACACTAAATAAATGATTCTTCTTCAAGTTGATAGCAAAACTAATTTTTTCTATTATACCCAGTGCCAGAGAGAGATGAAGAATCGATGACAGTTTATTTTTTGTATAACTAGGGATAACGTGGTATGTTTTTATACATATATTTAAACTAGGATAGGAGAGTTGTCCTAAAAAAACGCAAAATTAAATGCAACAGCTTATTAAAATTTGGTTTTGTTCATGCATGCTGAGGTTCCATATTTTAAAAAGCAATGAAAAGCTCTTACAATTATAGACCACCAAAAGCAAGATAAGTCACAGGATTTAGCGTTTTCAAATTTGGTATTGCACTTTCGATTACAAAGAAAAAATTTCCCAAAGGTCTTGTGATGTAGTTTACATCAGTGTTACTGTCATGTAACACAACTGAAAACAATGGGGCTAGTTTTGAGTTAGGCTGCAGTTCAGGATGACATCCCTGTTCTTTTTAACACATTTCAGTGTCTGAAGTCAGTGAGGTTTAATTGTTAAAATAAGAAGGCAAGCTAATGTTCAGGGCTCTCTGAAACTGAGCCTTAATGTATTGCAAAGAAATTAATGGTCAGATTCACACATTCTATGAAGTACATTCAATGTCACTTCATTAGAACTGGTGGAGCCTTTTTTAGGAAAAGTTTTGTTCTGATGTCATTGAACAGTTGAATAGAGAGTTATTTCTTGATTAAGCTATGCTTTTGGTAACTCTTAATTCTCCAAAAACCTGGTTCAGAAACTGAACATTCTAGGAGCTACAAAACTGAAGAGAAATAATATTTTCCTTTCAATACATATGCTAAACAGCAAAATTCACAGAAAATGTAGTTTCCATTTCTTTAAGAACTGTTATTGTTGAATGGTGAAAGGGAGAGAGATATAAAAGACACATGGTAGCAAAACTAAAATCTGAGCGAAAAATTGGTGTTTAAAACAGTGATTAATATTTAAAATGTAGCATAGTTATAATTTAAAAAGGAAATGTTTTTATGCTTTTGCAGAGGTCAGTGTGTATACCTCCACTAGTTTTTCTCAATGAAGAGAAAAGGTCAGAGGTTAGAATTTATGCTGGTAGTAAGACACTTGGCTTTAATACTCTTCTCCATCACTGTTACACTGAAGGATGCATTTAGGTCCAGTTTCATTTGTCTTGCATCTGATATGCCCTCCAGATACATATATCTTTTTTTCGCTAACTGTAAGTGAAGTTAGAATCAATTTGTTCATGTTATGGTGCCTCCTCTGTCTTTGCTTTGCAGCAGCTCTTCATGGACTTGTCATGAAGGTAGGTGTATTCTGAAGTGCTCACATGGGTTGAGTTCTTAGATGCAACCTAGATTCCAGTAGTGATGTAGAAGACACTAATGGGGTTAATGGAGGATCAAAGGAATGGAATGGTAAAGCATGCAGCCACACTCCTACAGTCAGAAGTAGAGAATTTGGTGAAAGGAGCATGAAACTTTATCTACATAAACACTGTCAGATGTAGAGTTTCTCAAGACATTTTTCTTAGGACATTTTTTGTGGGGTTAGTTTCACTAGAAGTCTTTAATTTGTCAAAACAGCATTATAGCAATTATATAGTGTGCTTAATGGTATGCTGTAAGACTTAAAACTTCAGTCTAAAAATTGTAGAGATCAATGAAGAGGTGGTCATTTTAGTTTAGCTTACATTCAAAGCCAGGTCTGGGTGTACTTTTTCCCCTTCTGTGCAGCATTTGCAATACAATATTCTGATGTTATTTTCCTTGTTAACTCCATTGAAAACATGAGCCCTTCAGCCTTTGGGAAAGTAAAACGTTTCATCTCCTAAATAGTCAGACAGCTAGATGTTGTGCCTAAGACTGGCTTAGCCCAGTTTAGCGGCATAGGAGAGGTAGAGTTTTTACTGAACACATATGAAAATAAAGAAGAGGTGCTTGAGCACATTCAGCACAGCATTGCATTTAATGGAGGCTTATCAAGGATGGGAAGTGCCGTGAAGTTTTTGCAGGAAACCTTTTTCATGGATGGTGCTGGAAGCCAGCTCAGCGAAGGCATTCCACAGGTTGTCGTGGTCATCACACCTCTGGATCCAGAGACAGTATCATGGAGGCAGCCTAGAAGTTAAAAGAGATAAGGGTAAAGCTGTCTCAGCTGATGTTGGATTCTTTTATATGGAAGAAGAAAAGGTGAGAGTCTCTTCTAGCATGACTTCCCAGACTTATGAAGGGGAGAACATTGACTTTCTCCATCAAAACATTGTCAGTGATATGGAAGCCTCACTGCAGAAGCTTTATGACCTTGGTCCAAATGTGTCGGCTGGTATGAGGTATCACCAGAGCAAAACTAGCAGCCTGAGTAGCTTCTAACTCACTGGTAATCCAGAATACCTTCTCAGGTGGCTGTGAGGGAAGATCAGAGTGCAAATGGCTGGCAGCTGTGCTTTTACAGAGGTGCTATAGGGATAAAATATTTACCACCTTTGGCTGTGTGGTGGCAATACTTACCTATGCACAGTTTGTTCTAATTGCCTGCATTAACCAAGGGGACCAGGGCAGTAGTCTAGAGGGGTTGGCTGGTGTGGAATTGCCTGTTCTGACAGGATAATTTTGCTTGATGATTTTTAATTTTTTTTTTTTTTTTTAAGAAAATGGCTATAGGAGAAATTGTATTTAACTACAGAATAACTTTCCTAACATCCTGGGGTGTCCTGATTAGCAGTCACTCTGCAGGAGAGTAGGAAAAGCATTTGTCTTGCAGACTCCTGTAGTGTGGCCAAGGGGCCAGATAAGGTATGGTGCTTATCATCAGGGTAAGAGGTGCCCTGCTTAGAGCTCGGGGTCAGGCTCAGACACTGGAGGTCACAGTCAGAGGTCAAGGTTAAGATTTAGGATCAGGCTTACAGGCTAGGGGTCCCATAGCCGCCATGTAGTGCATAGATCATCTAGTGTTACAGACCTGCAGTTCAAAATGTATAGTGACTCATAGTAGTTAATGACTCAGTGGTTGAGGTGGATATAGTTCAGTTTGGTCTGTAGTTCCAAGTGGGAGATGTGTTTCTCACTGAATTCATTTTCCCCTGAGTCTCAGAGCAGAGAAGCCTCTGCCAGGCCAGCCCTTCACAGCAAGGGGTTTGAGCTTTGCCAGGCAGAATCTTGGTGGGCATGCATCTTCCCTTGCTTCTGCTAGGATCCTTATTCTTACTGGTGAACCAACTGTACCACTGGATAGAGCCAACCTTCCCATGGTCATAAAAGCTTTGAAAGGAGGTGGAATCAATGTAACTACTGTTGGAGTGAACAAAACAAGCAGAGCAGAACTTGAAGAGGTTACTCTGAAGGTCACGAAAGATTGCTCTTTGCACCGGGCTGTGATGCATTGCCAATAAAAATGCTAGGGAACCCTACTTTTGCAATGAAAATGACTTGCCAGAATTCTCTCCACTCCAGGGTTACCAACATGCTGTCTTTCTCCATGACAGTCATGCAGTTCAAGCATTTTTTTTCCTCACAATGGCCCTTCAGGTAGCAAGAGCACGAGTGGTGGGGTAGTTTGACTTACTACTAGGTAATGTCTGGTCTTTTGTTACAAACTCTGTCTTGTTATGATTCTCCCAGCTGTTCTTTTAGATGACATGTAAAGATCTGTGATTTCTTCTGCAAGTTCATAGTGGAAAAGGATGGATTTTATCTATGCATGGAAGGTCTCTGGTAAGAGAGGTCATGGGTTGGCCTTGCATGGCCTTACTGTGAACAGCTGCTGTGACTAACTGCAGGGAACGAGGACAGATTTGGTATTCCTGATAGACAGATCAGAAAGCATATAAAAATATCTGTCATGAAGACCTTCATGGTGGAAGTTGTGGACAGCTTTGCTATCTCTAGAGACAAGAGAACATGTTGGAATAGTCCAGTACAGCCAAGAGCCCCAGAAAGAATTTTCTCTTAATGAGTTTTATACTAACACTATGATAAAGGAACAGATCAACAGAATCAAGCAGTTGCGGTCCTCTGTGTTCACTAAAAAAGGGCTGAGGCTCGTCCTGAGCCTTTTCCAGCCTGCTGATGGAGACTGCAGGAGCCGGGGTGTCTCACAGAACCTTATAGTAAATACAGGTGAGTACTCTGCTGACATGGTGGAGGATACAGCAGTGACTTTGAGAGGTGATAGGATCCATGTCTTTGCAGTTGGCATAGGGATTTTAAATTCCTTTGAGCTGCTTTTAACAGCTGGTGGTGCAAGGACAGTTCCCAGTGGAAAAGCTTGATGCGCTGAAAACCATCTAGAGGAGAATTTTTCAATCAGGTCTGTGAATCCAAACATCTCCCTGGCCAGGGTAACTAACATAAACATTTTGTTGGGTATGTAATGGTGAATATCCACAAGGCTACATGCAGTCCCTGATTAAAGTACCTGAGCTAGCTGGACAGCAATGCAACTCCTTTACCAAAGAATACTGCTCAGGTTACTCAGTCTTGCAACTTTCGTCAAGAACTGTTACACTCTTTCCTATGGTAAATAGCTTCTGAGTAAGAACGTGCTTCACATCTACTATTCATAGCTACTTGGTGTCTGAAAGGAGCCAGAGCAGATATGCCCAAGGTATCCTAATCAAAAGAGAGTAACAGACATTTTCATGATATTTACAAAAGAGCCTTCCAAAAACCTTATTTTGTAATCTACAGCTGACCATACTGCTTCAGTGGGACTGTCAGCAGCAAGTGTTGACAAAAAATTAAAGTCTCACAGAGGCACTGTGGAGAGGAGGTGTGAGAAAATCCATCCTTGGATATGTGGGAGGTGCGAGCAGCAAATCCACAGTAATGCTGAGATGCTACCCAAAAGCTTTCCCTATATATGAGACATCAGGTGGTGTCTCTTACTACATCTTCTTGCTAGCAACAGTAGCTTGGATGCCACAAAACCTGAGAAGCTCCCAGCACCAAAGAAAATAAAGGTTCAGTATTGCCTTTGATTAATGCAGCAACTTTTATCAGATGTCAGATGCTGGTTTTATTCTGACTCGGTGTTGCAGTATCAGTCACCTTGTCATGTGGGAAGACTGAAGCAGAAAACATACAAAATTGCTCTTTAAAATGACACATTCATGCCAATTATGTAGTAATACAATACTGTAGATGTGTTTGTTAAGTTGCAAAGAGAAAAAATGTAGTGAATGGCAAATCAAAGGCTGAGCTCTTCGTCTGCTGAAGGTGAGGGAGCCCTACTGTGGTATGACTGGATGGCATTGATTGGGGATAGCAGGAGACAGTTCTGGAGCAGTTCTCTCTGTGCCCATCCTTACAGGGACTGTGTCTGTCCTTTAAAGCTCCTTGTTGTCTTCCCTGTGTTTTCACCATATAGGTGATGTTTTATACATCTTGAATACATGCTCACTGTTCTTGTTATGCCATAAAATTGATTCAACCCAGTTCTCTGGGTTCCATTCCTTTAATGACCAGAAACTTACTGCAGGAAAAGAAAACTGGGATGACCACATTGCTTGTCTAAGGCTTTTTGTAACAACAGCTGAACAAATAGGTAACTTTGCTTCTCCTGCCCTCGGGGCTCATGAGATCTTAAACATCCCAAAATAAGCTGGTGTTTACTGGGGTGCTGGGGGCCAAAATGAAGAGCTGAGCCTCCCCTCCTAAAGCCAGAAGCTACTCTGTGAATTATATTTACTTGGGTGGTTTTCAGAGGACGACAGCTGGGCCTGTTTCAGTATGAGTTCTGCATCCCCACCCCCTCTTTTTCCCATCAAGAGCTGAGCAAACCTCTAGCTGAAAAGGCATCCCCCGGCTCCTGAAAGCACAGAATGAGAGGGCTGCTGTGGAAGTGGAGTGCAGTGCCATGGAACAGCGTGACCGTGGATGATGCAGTAGCACCTCCTGGTGTTTCGTGACCAGAGAACAGGGAGATTTAACGGAAGATACAGCAGTAAACTATATCTATACAGGCACACTTATTTAGAGAGGGAGAAGTTAAGGAAAGCACATTGCTTTGATCTCACCGATGCATGTATTTTTTGTTAGTTTTTGCATAAATTTGTCTCATAAAGCGAAGATCAACTTCCTGTGAAGCCTGTTTTATCTTGTTCTGTCATCTGTTTTCCTGTATTTGCTGACCTTCTTTTCTGTAATAAGTCTTAGTTCCCCTTTTTCCAGTCACCTTCTCTTAAACTGCCAGATTTTTCAGATTTAAAAAACTGTAATCAAGGTCCCGAACATCAACAGAGGAAAAAGATTCCTTTGCAGCAGTTAAGATGGGGCAGTTTAGCAGTGTGGATGTGTGTGGGAGAACAGATGATTAGAAAAAAGATCAGTTTGCTGCACAGAAGTGTTTACCACTGAAAATAAATAGACATTGTCAACAGAGTATTGGGTACCTACCAGAAACTGTTGTACAGTCTCACGCACAAGACAGAAGCACAGAAGGAAATGCTTTACTGCTGTTTTGGTATTATTGCTGGTACGCTGGGGAGTTGGCAGGGAATGTTTTAAGACCTAGGCAGTGTGGATGACCAATTGTCAGGGCTAAGCTACTAACTCCAGGGTTGCCCTTTGCACTACCTAGAAACTATGCGATTAAAAAGACCCAGATGTTAGAAAAATGTTTCTCATTGTGAAAACATACTGTGTATGGGCTAGACATGAATACATACTGGAAGAAATAGCTAATAAAATTTATGTTCATGGAGATGTTTAATCAGAACCATCCTGCACAATTAGAGAAGTGTTGTTCCCTGAACTGATGGTAGTCTTCGTATCAGGGATGTTCTGTCAATCTTGAAATCAGATGTGCAGCCTTATGACCTGGCTAAAGGGCATGTCTGAGGGGGATGTGTGCAGACATATGTGTGTGTATAGATATATTTAACTGTTTAAGAGAAGTTTTTTCTTTGCAGACTAAGCAGAAAAGCTGTATAGATTTCTTATGTTGCTCTGAGGCCTGAATGTCGGATTTTTTAGCCATAAAAGCTCGTTCAATGTGACCTTTTACATTTAAAGATTTTCATGCTGCTTATCAGCAAGTCACACCCTCTAGGGGGCAGTTTGTACTGCAAGTGAAAATACTGAAACGGAACGATGGCCACTCAGATAAAATAATTTCTGGATGTATTTGGTTAGAGCTGAACACATTAATCTTTTTCATGAGTGAGGGAAAACTTGGAAAACTGTAATGAAGCTTATATCAAATAATGGTCGACAGGAATTAGCCCAAACTAGCAAACATGGAAAACAATCTTGTGTTTTATAAGTGTTTCAGAGTCAGTAGGTGAAGAAGGAAGAAAATTAGGGAGAGTACTGTTTTACAGATAAAATTGCATGCCTCTCACTTCCTTACAGAGATACAACAATAGATGATACTTTATCTGGGGGCACAGAATAAGATTGAGCATGACACATGAAGAATCGAGGTACAGAAGAAATAAGCCAAGTGGTTTAGCTGCTTAATGAAGGCAAGATGATTGGGGATGGGGGAGGGATTAACCACATCACAGTATTTGCTGTTATTATCGGGAGCTATGCAAGCAATTCCATAACTGAGGTAGCCCTCACCTTACAGCAGCTGTAATTCACAATGGATATATGACATTGCATGTAGGCAATGCTGCCTCTTTCTCTCATGTTTGTTTCTTTGGCCTATTGTTCTACATTTGTGTGTATCATCTGGTCTTGTGACAAAGTGATAAAGTCATCAAGCTTCCCATTGGAATTGGAATATGTGTTGCACATTCTCAGTTGGTAGCAAAGCTCGTGGAAATATTTGCAAGTTTAGGCCCTTGGAGGACATTTGACAGCTGGACAACAGTGACCTGTTCTGCAGTTTGGGTATGTATACACATCTAGTAACATAGTCTTTAGTATCTGCAAATTCATATAGCCCCACTGAAACTGGTGGACTGATGGTATTTTATGTTTATGGAAAACCTCTCTCACTGATTCTGACTTCTGGTTTTAAATCTACCCTAATGAATTTTGTTCCACTCCCGTGATGATCTTGTCTTTTGTAAGAATAAATAGTGTATGTTTGTAGCTTCTTCTTTCTTTTACTTTTTTTTTCAGATTGTGACATAGATCTTTCTGTAGCAATTGATATTTCAAGGCGTATGCAGCCGGCATCCACAGTGCTTCTGAAAAAGAAATTGCAAGCATTCCTCCCCAAGCTTTTACTCCAGATGAAACTGCTGCCAAATACCAGCTGTAATGCTGGTTCTCCAGTCAACATTAGATTCAAATTCCAAGTATTGACACAGACCAGACAATTCATCTTTGACTCTGATTTTGAAGACTATAATGAAGAGATCATCCAGAGGTTCTTAGATGCACAGGCCACTGTGGACACCTACCTGAATGCACACTTCTTCCAAGCACTTGAGGAGAAGTTCTTCAGTGTGACCTCTGCTGAAGTTAAGGTAACTTAATGTTATGAACATATAAGTTGGAAAAATTATGCATTTTGATGTTTACAGACTCTGATGCTGAGTGCTTCAGGAAGACAAAAGTTGAGTTCAGGAGCTGGTGAATCCAATAAGCAGAATCACAGAATGGTTGAGGTTGGAAGGAACCTCTGCAAGTCACCTTGTCCTCCTTGCTCAAGGGAGGGTCAGCTAGAGCAGGCTGCCCAGGACTATGTTCTGATGGCTTTTGAGTATCATCAAGAATGGAGACTCCACAACCTCTCTAGGTAACATGTGCCCATGCTCAGTCACCCTGATGGTAAAAACGTGTTTCTTTATGGTTATATAGGACCTCCTGTTCTGTCATTCACCCTGATATAACTGCATATATCAGTTCTGATTCCCTAGGCACTCCTGCAGTGAGCTGGTATCCAGAATGTTTGGGTTAATACATATGATCATGAGTATTCATACAGAAAACTTTCTTACATCTACCACAGAATGTACTTTGATTAGTGGAAACAATTCTCCTTTACAAACTCTAAATCCTGATCCCAAATCTCTGTCCAGAATAATGACAGCACTAAGCAGAAGGCACAGAAACCATCATCCAAGAAATTTGTTTACAGAATTTTGTGTAGTTAATTTGTCAGATAATTTCAAATAATAAAGCTGAGTTCTGCTCATGGATAACCAATGATCAGGAAAACATGCATAGATGGTGCAGTTAATTCATCCTTCTTGAACCAGGGTGAAGGAAGAAGCATAAGAGTTGATCTAATGCCTTCTGAAGTGAATGGGGAATCCTTCCCCTTAGGTGAAAGAAAGTTAGATCTCATCAGAGTGTTTCAGGGTCATTGCCCTCACAGTCTGTTCTTAATAAGATACTGACTCAGTAAACACGGAGCATGTTCTGAAGTAGTTGTTTGAATATTATCACTTACTAAGGTCTCCATGCAGGAAGACTTTCCTACTGAGGAAGGACAAGTTAGCCCTTGCAAAATACGAGGGGTTTCCTCTGTGAACCTTATTTTAATTTTCAGATGTTAATTTTAATCTGTTGTGGAGCAAGCAAGTCACGCTGTTATGAGTTCCCCTGCTTTCAGATGAAGGTGATCTGTTTTTTACTGCATTTGCATACATATGGCTTACCAATTCAGGTTGTAATTTGGTGCATATTTAATAATAATTTTCCCCCAAAATTTCTTAAAATGTCATTTTATTCTGAATGGGGAACATGACCACATAAAATTTTGCTTCTTTTGGGCCTTAGTAAAGAGAACTTGTTTTGACATACATGTAAAAGTAGTGATTTTTTTTTTCTTCTAATTGCTAATTCTGTTAGATCCCTGAGGAAGATTAGTTAAGCAAGGCTTCTTTCTGCATTATTACTGGAAATAAATAAGCTGCATATCTCAACACTTTACCAGTGGATTAATATTCCTTTCTGATGTTGTTTATGTGCAAATTGAAAATACAAGACTTTATCATGCACATGAAATCACAGTCTTCCTAGGATCCTGAGCAGTAACATGCTTGTCCTGTAAAGATTATTAGCTATCAACTTCATCAGGTATAGTGATTCTCTGTTGTTTGCATTTCTTCTTTTCTTTATTATTTTTTTTTCAGCACAAGAGTTAGACCAGCATGTTTGACAAAGTAAGACTCAGATATCTTCCAACAAGAGGTTTATATAAATAAAAGCTCTGTAAACATATACAATGCTGCCCACACTAAAACCTAGGGAACACCTTTCAATACCTGTTTCCTCTGACAGTTAATCTGTGCCACTCAATGTGCTCTTTCATTTTAAGGGGACTTTCTTTTCAGGGATTTTCCAATCAATTTTGTACTCGCCTTATAATTCAACTAGGTTATATTTTCCTAACTTGACAGATAGTGTAAAAATTCTTACAGAAGTCAAGCAAAGAGACAGGGTTTCCTGTAAGGAGCTCACTACAGAGGATGTCTTAAGACTTGTGCACTTTACAGGATTAAGTATAATTGATTAACTATCATTTGATGGTAATAAAATGGAGAAGGGAAGGAACAAACATCAACACACGGTAATATACTTTATTTATCAGCTTATTTTAAGGTCTTGAAATTTTTCCGCTAGGGCCAGAAGAATGATGATTGCAAATAAGAATATCTATAGAAGAAAGTTATCTTTACTATGCAGCTGTTTTTGCATGGGGAAGTTTTAAAGAATCCAATCTAGGCAATGCTGTGTTAATGACATTGTGGTAGTACCCACTACGTGGAAACTAAATACATCCAAAGAGTTTTCCCTGAAAGCCAAAAGCTCAGCCAGATGCTAATTCTGAGGAGCATAAGTTTAAAACTTAAGCCTCCAGATCTGCTCATTAGACACTGTTTTATTGTAATAACAATAATGTGTTTGGCGTTTCCTTCCCACAGCTGTTGCTTCATAATGACCTGATGATTTTGGAGAACAGCCCAAAAATCCAACAATGTTGGGTGTCATCACTGGGAATGGGACAGAGAAGATCATTTTGCTGCCGTATAAAAACTTGGTGGGCCTGTATGTGGAGTAGCTGGTGCCCTTGCGGTGTCTGCATCTCAAAAATGATTTACTGCATTTGTAGAAAGTCCAGAGAAGGACAACTAAAATGATGGGGATGGAGCAGTTACTTACAAGGAGAGACAGCACAGGTGTAAGACTATTTAACATGGAGAGGGGGAGGCTGTGGGGCGGTTAACTGCATCGTGAAGGTGAGGGATATGGTGAAT